AAAATCGGCCCATCTCTTAGTTCAGTAACGTCAAGGTCACTGGGGGATGACTTTTCGAACTCGTCCGATCTTAGTCGGTCATATTTCAAAAAACTCCTCTCGTCGTGGCCTTCAAAACAACCTATATTCACCCACCCTCTGAAACCGCCCTTTATCCTGAAAATCTCAAGTTCAAGGTGGACGATTTTCCGACGTGTTACGCTCATTAGGCGCAACTGTTTTCATAGAAACAATTAGTCGAAATCTACCTTTCGTTTCCACTGTGGCTGGAAAGCGGTTTTTGTCTTTATTTTATAATATTGTCCTCCCAAATTTTTTAAAACTCCATGAAAATGTGTTGTAAATGTAATGAATTTTCATAAAAAAGCCCTCAAATTGTCAGGAAAGGAATTATCTTTTTAAAAGGGCAGAGTTTGGGAAGAAAAACTGTAATATATTAAAATTTCTTCCCGCCAATGTCTTTATTTCCCTGGTGGATTTTTGTATTGGATACATTCAATTTTTTAGGGGTTACATTGATATAAGTTGTAAAAAATCCGTTTTGGTGCTGGAGGAACTCGTATTTCTTTCAAAATGAACCCATACCAAAATGGGTACCGAGTCTAGAGGGAATGGGTGAGGTAGAGAGATATGAGGGGCGTTCAATAAGTAAGTATCCCCCCCTCTCTAAAATCAATTTCTGTTTTCAATGCAATTTACACACTGAACACCATTTACAAATTATATTTGCTAAAATGTAAAAAATGCATGTAACAGGTGTAATTTTCTTCTTTCTTTTGAAATCTTTGGGCAAGCAGTGCTTGCCTTGCTTATCCGGACCGCACGCCACTGATCCCCCCTCTCTAAAATCGATAGGAATGGACCAATTTTAAAAAACTTGGGCTCAAAATCTTCCTTAGGATATACTGAGTTCAACAAAACAAATTGCAACAAAATCGAACCATGTGCGGCCGAACGCGAGCCGTTTGAACGCGCCGAGGTGCACGCCGCTCCCGCCGAATCCGCGGAGATTTGAAGTCCGCAACAAGAGAAGAGCTTCTCTGCCAACGCTTCAGTCGTTCATCACTGACGAAAAATCCAAGAAGTTTTTGTAGAATAAGGTGCTTACCTCACCTCTCCACATAACCAGCTCGATCCAAGCAGGCCTGAGACTGATTGTGAGACTAAGAGAGCAGCTTTTGGATACCGCGCCTGTAGAAGTCTTTCAATTGGCTGGGGATGAAAGTGTTGACGGCTTGTTTGACCTCTTCCACTGATTCAAAATGAGTTCCCCCGAGTTCAAATTATAGAAAGGGGAATAAATGGTGGTCTTTTTTGCCATTTATTACCGTATCTAGTATCTGAACGCGGGGGAGTTCATTTTGAATCAGTGGAAGAGGTCAAACAAGCCGTCAACACTTTCATACCCAGCCAGTTGAAAGACTTCTACAGGCGCGGTATCCAAAAGCTGTTCTCTTAGTCTCGCAATCAGTCTCAGGCCTGCTTGGATCGAGCTGGTTATGTGGAGAGGTGACTTGTGAGGTAAACACCTTATTCTACAAAAACTTCTTTGATTTTTCGTCAGTGATGAACGACTGAAGCGTTGCACTATGATCTGGGGGCGCCGAATTGTTGCCATAAATCAGGAAATGGTCAGATTATCATGAAATTTGGTGTGCTCGTGTTTTTAGGGTCGCTGAATTCAAATTTGACCTTAGTGTTACAAAATTCTCAAATCCAAGATGGCGGCGGACTCTAAAAACTAAAAAATTAGAAAAAAATTCAAACTATGATTCGGATGCCATTTTAAATGACAGTTTAGTGCTTTGAAGGTTGCCAGACTACACTTAGCTAACTCAGTTTTGCAAAAATGACGCGTTTACCAGAGCAAAAGGCTTAAAAACGAGTATTTTACCCCAGAAAAGATAAGGCATTATCGTAATTGAATAAAGTTAGCATTATGTTTTTTAGTCTATTGGTCCTGACTAGAGCATGATATACTATATCAGCATGAGCATGATATATGAAATCTTATGGGGNGGGTTATGAAGCCTAGGTATAGTGTCCCCTCCCTGAACAAAAATTTTCTTCCAAAAATGTTCATTTCTGGCGGTTTTTTTTTTTTTTTTTTTAATTGCCTAACTCTTTGATCGCCAGACCCTGCTACGAAAAGTTTCGGGATATATTTTAGAATACTTAAGAATTAATAGCGTTGACATTCTTATATTTCTTGGAAACAGTTCAACCATTTTGCGCTGATTTTTATGGTTACAAATGTTATTATAAATGTTTTAGGTGGAATGATAAACTTGAACCATTTCAAAAAGTAAATACAAGAAAACGGAACTAAAATTTCTATTAAGGTCAAATATCCATGCTTGAATTCCTTTCCCCATCAGTCCCTTCCCAACAATAAGCTCCCAGTAATATGGCTTGCGATCATCAAGCTCGAGTTGCCTGGGCGGAAGTCAAACTCGGGATCTTCTGATCATAGGGCTAGCACTATACAACCATTACACCACAGGAAGGCGAGTTGGTAAATGTGTATGCATATGAAATCTCAAGAATGAAAAAATGACCTTCGTTTTATCCAGTTATCATCACTTCTGTGGAGAAAATATCATTTCACTCAAAAATGCGTTTTCTCGCAAAAAAAACTTTATTTTCCAGAAAACTGGCAACTGCTGGAAGAAAATGGGCATCATTTTCGGATTCAGCAGCCAAAATTACATAAGATCCACCCTTTGTCCAACGCTGACCTTGCCTTATCTCTCTTATCTTGTTGCACAGCGGAATCGGATTACTCACAAAATCACAAAACCGCTGCACTGAAATGACCGAAAAAGGCCTCAGACGCAAAAATACGCAAAAAAACCTATTACTCCCTGTTAGAGGAATATATGAGCTACATTCTGGCACCGATAAGAACGTGTTAGCTCTTGTTAGTGATAACTAAAAGTTAAGGTGAAGGTCATTTTTTGCCTAAATTATGACAAAAGTCTCGTGGTGGTCATAAAATTAATCTTAATACTAAAAACGATTAAACTATCAAAAAGTGCTCCCTTTGAGCTTTCTGTTCCATATTTGATCGAGGATCTATGCCGACTTTTAACAAAACAGCACGAGGTAATATGTGATGACGTTCACCTCGAATTCTCACATTTCTTCATTTATGTCTGAGTCTGTGAAGTTGGCCACCATATATCCGATCTTAAAAACACTTAAAAAAAATTCGATCGGTCATTTCACACTTGCCAAGGGATGTAGATAAGGGCTGCATGCTAGGTTGCCAGATTTCCGCACTTTCAAAAATCGGATTTTTGGCCACGATTTGGCGCTCCCAGACCATAGTGCGTTGGCAGAGAAGCTCTTCTCTTGTTGCGGACGTCAAATCTCCGCGGATTCGGCGGGAGCGGCGTGCACCTCGGCGCGTTCAAACGGCTCGCGTTCGGCCACACATGGTCCGATTTTGTTGCGATTTGTTTTGTTGAACTCAGTATATCCTGAGGAAGATTTTGAGCCCAAGTTTTTTAAAATTGGTCCATTCCTATCGATTTTAGAGAGGGGGGATACTTACTTATTGAACGCCCTTCGTAGGTGTGATGGAGAGAGTGTTTAAGAGGATATCGGTGGGGGGGGGAGGAAACGAGGAGAGAANGGGGTTGAAAGGGGAGGGGGAGGAGAGGAGGGGAGACGGACAGACACAAAGGCTTAAGTGATCTCACACTTGGTTTTTCTGTCTGCCTTCCTCTGCCTAATATATCCATATCCATCCGTCTCTCATAATGAAATTACTGACCGTTTGACAAAATTCTATCCTGTCACCCGGACAAATTCAATACGAAATAGAAAGTGACAAATCCATTTAATGACAGCATAAACTACTCATTTCAATGAAGACTTTCAAGAACTCAGTCCCCTCATAGAATACTACACTAATGGGACTGAGTTGAGAATTCTGCTTGTTTTGATGGGAGGAAAAATTTAACGTCATGTTTAACGTCAAAACAAAACGTGCTCCTTGATTAGGACTAAGTATTACGTTAAATATGTAAAAATAGTTGAATTTTGTTGAAGCTATCCTTGTAACAATGCAGGGACTGAGTTGAGCTGGTTCAAGATGATTTTCACGTTCACACTTTAAAAAAGAATACCTAAACACGTTCTTGTCAGTCATCACAGCGATTGCACATATTAGGTGAGGTCAAAGGATCACACTGAATAACAGCAACCACTTGTTTTTTACAAACAGCGCCCCTGGTGGCTCCCGTGTGAAGCAAAAAGTGGGGGGACTGAGTTGAGATGAAAACCTTGTGACAAACCTTCTGCCTCGTCTCACGACGGGAATATTGTCAGTATTCTTAAGGCATACGAAAGAAATAAAAAGTAGAAGATCCATACATCCTAAAAATGTCAGGTTTAAGTTTGTTCGCTTCGGTTTCCAGCACCCTACAGCCGTTTGAATTGCGGAACCTCAGTTGTGTGACAGGGACTGAGTTGAGATTTTTTGCCCTTCTCTGCCTGCTAGGAAACAGAGGTTTAGTTCTATGATGTTTTCCGAGTATGCGTCTGTCGCAGAAAGTTATTCTGCATCAAAAATAATTTATCTGAACTCTGTTGATTGATATGTGTGCCAGAAAAGCCTGTGTGACAGGCATAGTAAAAATAGCAGAGAGCTACCCAAGATCTACGCAGAAACTCTGTAGCCCTGGTAAGTCACTTTTTCCCATTTCCCACAGTAGACTGCATACTACAACTGCGGTCTCGGCGGTAGACCCTTTACAACAACGTCGAATCGGAGGGTAGACCGCTCACGACAAGAATACTGCTCTTTAATCTTGTTTTTTTATTTTGTATGGTTCAATATAAAACTTATGCATAGTGTTACTTTGACCTGTCCAACTTAATGGGCTCTCTGTATCATCCTCCTTTGTAAAATGCAATTTTCGTACATAGGTATTTTAAATAGTCCTTTTAAAACAATCATGGGCAATGTTTGTAACCCTTATTGTCTGTTCCAGCCTTCTTAGTTCTGTTCAACAAGTAAGAGGTACTAAAAAATATGTTCGACCTTTACGAATCAGATACCCTATGTGGTTTCTGCGGCAGAATAGAGCGGTAAGTATTTCCTGATTATTCAATAGTTAACTACACTAATGCATAAACCTGTTTTAGAAAGTAACAACTCAGAAGTATGCAGTATATACCTTCAGTAAATTGTACTTTTTGAAGGTAAAAAAAAACACCTTTTCTCTTTCATCTTGTCTTTTGCTACCGCACAGTTGATGAATTAAGATATTAAGGAACTCAGTAATTTTATTCTGGACTAGTAACCGGTATTTAACAATCTGTATAGATCGAGTGCCAGGAACAATCTCTGGGGAATCCCAAAAAAGCTGAATTTTGGACCTGTAGGCTCCGTTTTTCCTGTTTTCTTGAGAATTTATGAGAGGAGTTTTGATTTTACAAGTCGAGGTGTTGGGGAAAATTTTGTAATAATGTAATATAAATTCATGTCTGTCTCTGTCCTGGAACAGCTACACACTTAATTGTGACTGGCAATTCAACGATTTTATCAATTTTTTAAGTAGTTAAGTAAAACTCAAATTTTGTTTTTGAAGACTGTATGAACATCGGTGTAAGAGGAAATATCCGTTCATGAACAGCGCGGAGAGGGGGGGGGGGGTTACTCCTCTGTTTGAGCCCACACTTGGACGGTTGGACCACAAAAGCCTTATCTGATGGAAATTTCTGCCATTTTTGTTGTGTTGCATGCTAGACCTAAGCATCAAAAGGAATTTTGAACCTTGGATTTTCAGAAATTGTTTTTATACTCAGTAAATTAAGAGATGTCACATATCATTTTTCTGAAGAATGTTTTAAAACCGAGAGAAAATATGCAGAAAGGTCTTAAAACGCAACGTTGAAAGAAGCTCCTGCGATTTTTAACAATTTTCCTGCCAAACTTGGCAATGCTTTTTTTGGAAACTCTCCATAATGGAGACAAATTACTTAAGCTGAGACACTTTTTTGTACTCCTAATGAGCTCCTAGAAAGGTCACAAAATTAAAATTTTATCAGAAGTCAACTGTAGGTGCTTCGGATTCAACTTAGAGTCTACTTGGACTCATCATCAGTGCAGTGCAGTCTCCTGACGTTTCTGCTACCAAGCTCAGAGAGGTTATGATAACCAGACCAAGATTTGGACCAAAGACATAAAGACGGAGTGCTCGTATCTAGAGGCACGGGGGAAAAGTGAAGCCTGGTTTGGCGCTGGGTGCTTGTGTGAGTGTGTAAATGAGCGCGGGAATCCATAGCGGCAAACGGAAATTTGATTTGAACTTGTCCTCTTGATTTTTCCACATTTCTTCTTCGAAATGTATTTTTAATGCCTAAAACGAATATATTAAGAAAGTTGAGACTGCGACCTATTATAATACACCTACTTTTGCTCGGTAACCGGCAGTAATCTCAGACAAAGTTAGTTTTTCTTCTGCTCATGGTGGTTCTGCAGGTTCAAACAGGCCGTTACAGTTCTAGATGACCGTTACTCCCAAATGAAATTGATCGGTCGACGACGGACCAAAGCTAACCAAAAGTTAAAGAAATATGAGTGGGTAAGTGAATTTGGGCAAAAACCAACCTAGAATACTTTGTTTCCGCAATTTTATTTAGTTCCCGCCCTACATTTGAATTTCAAACTTGTCCCGATTTCGCCGCCAATCCTCTAGCCAATAGTAGAGGTGGTTGAAAAGAAGCTTCATTTTTTGCTTTTAGCCCTCCGTCTTTATGTCTTTGATTTGGACATGCAGTGGCAAGCAAACTTGCCGTCATTCATTCACGACCTCTTGGAGCTTGTTAGCAGAAAAGTCAGAAAGCTACTCTGCTCTGATGACCACTGAACATTGAATTTTAACGCATGTTGGCAAAATAACCAACTCTCCTGTCTAAACGACTCGTGCGTCAAACTACATCTGGTCTTTACAAGACTTAACACTTTTGCACCAATTTGAATGTTTTATCCATGTGATGTTCATTTTCATATTATTCTGCCTCTAACCTAAATTTCAGAAAACCATTGAAAATTTGACTAAAGACAACAAAGCATTTATACAAGAAGTAATCTGTGATAAATTTGGGTTGGAAAACATTGAAGGTGGCACACCAACTTGCGTTAGTTTAAGTCCATTGAAGTCGGATCCAGCAGTGTACACTGAAAAGTGGAGACCTGGTACCCGGAGAGTTGGCCTAATAGTCAGAAAAATTGGTGTTTATCCCATGTGGCAAAAGGATGGCACTCAAATTGCCACGACCTTATTTCAGGTAAATTTTTAAGTACCTATTTTCAAATGTTAAAACAAATGTAAGACTTACATTTTAGCAACCAGATTCGAGCAAGTCACTGTCAGGTCCTGTCACTGTTCATCCTACTATTCAAGCATTGCACTCCTGTACTTGCTGAGTGATAACATTGTAACTTTATTTAACGTCCCTCCCCTTTTTTCCTGTCATATCAAACAATCTGCTCCGGCTATTGCTAGTAAAAATTTGATTCTCTTTGTATTGAGCTCGTTTCGTTTAAGTCTCTTATTGTATGACACTGTTCTTCAGAAAATATGAAGAATAACTTAATGTTTATCCGATCTTAAGTTTATAATTGAACATTATGTTGGGAAAAAATTCAAAAATTTAAAATAGCTACTTAAACAACTATTGTCACCTCTGACTCATTACATTAACACCCCAGAACTATTGTCACCTCTGTTAAAGTGAGGCCTGGACATGATACTGTTGCTTGAGCACAAGCTTCGAGTTCCGTAATAAGTTTTTTGTGCTGAATCCAGGAGTTCTCAAGCCAAAGCTAAAATGGCATGTTGCGCCTATGGTTTTGATCCTATGAGCGAATTCCTCTGTGTGATCTTTTGAGTCTATCTTCGAAAGACCCTTATGACAAGGCTAAAAAGGCATGTTGTGCCTAAGGTCTTGAAACCTTCTTGCAGTTTCTTGTACTTTTTTGTGTGTTCTATTTCATCTTCATCTGGGGGAGAAAAATTCGCGTTTTGAAGTTTAGTCAGACTACCATGTTGCAGCATCTGACCCCTGTCTCTTTAGTTGTTTCGGGTCAAGTGTTGCAACTGTGATGATAGATACTATTCTTTTAATCTCTCTTCTATGCTACTGCAGCTATAAACAGCATTTTTTAGTTTCATTCTAAGTTGCAACCTCACCCATCTTATTGATTTTAGATCAATTTTAGATTAGGTTCTTAATTTTACTTTTTTTTTTCTTATTTTTGGTGGCCTTGCTGTGGACAGGAGTATAATCCATTTTTATTTCTTTCAATAAAAAGACGTTGAAGTATAACTTCTATCAAATGAAGGACAAAAACTCCTCATAGTCAATACGAATTCATGCTTGCAAGTGCTTTTGAAATCAGTTCTGTGTATTTTAATTCTCCCAAATTTTTAAAAATCAAATGAAAGCTCTCCACCTCCACCCTACTAGGTAATTGAAATTTTAAATATAACCAGCAGAGCACTGACATCCCAATGACATGCTTTACAATTTTGCAGGAAGCCGAACAGTACATTTTCAACAATCAGTTTATCACTGAGTCTATTTTTCTGGCACAGTTCGAGGATGAACTCCAATGAAAGAAAAACATGGTTCAGAGTATGTTGTCTTAGGTATCGATTTTATGTTTTCTTTTCCCCCCCCAGGTTGCAGATAATCATGTGATCAAATACATCCCTCCCAATGAATTTGAACCTGTAAGGAAACGGTACCGCGTGAAACAAAGGGAGATGGGTGCTGTAATTGTGGGAGCTGACAGTACAGATCCACAGAAGGTAACATTTCAGGGTTGTAAAGACCCTTTTCTTCCTCTGTTTTCACCGGATCCTGACAAAAAGCTTCTTAACTTAATTCCAACTTAATGATTCATATAGCTGACTGCAAAATCAACAAAAGGACAGGTATTGTTAGGGGCCATTTTTTGCCGTAGAGAATTTCTGGGGCATCGCCAATTCAAGTCACATGGCCCCACACTACAGTCCAAGCACTATGTTCGCGATTGTTTCCATAGATTGTGGCGCCACACTACAGCATTTTTTTGAGCCCGAAAACGTTGTCTTTGCTATTGATCTTCGTCGCACATTTGTGGGGGAAATCAACAGCTCATACGATGTTTTGCCATTAAAATTAAAAAATGCGTGTTTTCTCTTGATTCCCCTCAAATCTTTGTGGTGGAGATTAACAACTAAATCACCCTTAGAACTGCCCTACAAAGATCTTCCCCACGACGAAACTTTAACGCCTATCTCATTCTAAGGGTTAAAATTTAAACTCTACCTGTTAGGGAACCCAACCTAACATATCCTAACTTATGGTAGCCTAATTTATCCCAACCTAACCTATCCTAACTTCCTCTCACTTATGCTAAATATACCTTATCCAGAGAGTATAGAAGGTTAGAAGCCCGACTCAATGCTTAGTAATTTAAGCAGAAGCGCTTGCTGGCAACGTACGCAACTACTATTTTCTATTGTTTTCCTGTGACTGGCGGCGGGTATGTTGCTGCCGGACCACCTTCACAGAGGCAATTTTTCATACCTCGTCCGTCCGCAACTCTCGCTTGGCCAATCAGCGCAGTAGTATGGAAATCCCGCTCGCCGCGCACTCTCACGCCAACGTACGCAACTTCTTGCTCGCGGCTCAACTTCTGTTTCAATTCTTCCCTATCCAGTCGGGCCTCTAACCGTAGATTAATAGCTACCTGAAGGGCAGCAGTCGGCCATCTTTGCTCCGATTCTTGAAATCCCCACGACCCCCGCTCAGCCTACCGTTTCAAATTTCGCGGGGAATTAGAGCAAAGTCCGGCCGCTCTCCCTCTACGTCTCTCTGCCGTTTCAAATTTCGCGGGGAATTAGAGCAAAGTCCGCTTCGAAAAGGTGATTTTACGCGATGTTACGGGAGGATCTGCCCGTTACCTTTCTTGTAGCTATTATTCTATGCTCTAATCTTCCATACTCTCTGACCTTATCTAGCAGGTGTCACTATATAAATTTTGCAAGCTGTCATGCTTTTAAATGTGTGTATGCAAGTAATTTTTTCGTTGTGGGGGAGATCTCTGTGAGGCATCTCTGAAAGTATATTAGTTGTTGATCTTCTCCACAAATGTTTGGAAGGAATCATCAGCAAATATACGGTTTCTCATTTAAGTGGCGAACATGGGATGAGCTGTTGATTTCTTCCACAAATGCGTGGCCAAAAGCAGCAACTATAATAGTGGGGTTGCTTAAAATCAAAAATCACCTTAACAGTTCAAATTAGGCTACCAGCATGAAACTTGGTGATAATGTAGTTTAAGGTACCTAGAACGTTAATCCATCGGAACTCATGGTGGATCTCCCATGTCTCCCTGTAATTTGGCCGCCATTTTCCAATACAGCCGCCATAAGCTGATTTCCATTATTATTTCATTTTTCAGGCGTTCTAACTTACCTATTAACATGAAATTTGGCAGTAATGTACTTGAGTATGTCAAGAATGAACAATCTGGTCTAGAAATTGACATTTAAGTCCAGTCGGCCCTTTTATTCTTGCTAATGACCGCCATTTTAAAATTAGCGGTTTACAGCGCTGTTTCTCCGCGGTATATCACATTTTCGCGGCTGTGTTGCAATGAGATGTACGCAATTTGGCAGAAATGCGCAAAAATATGTTGACAACAAAAACCTATCGAGATCCAAGTTCAGTCGGCCATTTTTACCCAGGCCAATGACCTCTATTCTGGAAATTACCAGCCCAGTCCTGCTCCTCCGCGGTTTCTCAGATTTTCGCGGCTGTTTTGCAGCTCAGCGCGTGAATTTTGGCAGGAATATCCATAAGTCCGTTGAAAATAGAAATTTATCGAAGCCCAAGTTTTGTCAGCCATTTTACAGTCGAACTTGGCCGCCATTTTAGAATAAAGCGATCTGCCCTGTTCTTTCGAGGTTTGTTGGATTTTTGTGGCTGTTTCGAAGCGAGATGCGTACAATTTGGAATGACCGCCGGCGTAAGACTCATTCGCTTCAGCGTGAAAACCCACCGCTTGACCTGGGTCATTCCTAATGCTATCACCTGATTGGCTGCCAACTGAGGTTGAAAACCCCATCCCAAAATTTGAAGTTCTTAGGCTTGTCCTGTATTCAGTCACAAGATTTAGTTTTGCTTCATCGTTCGAACGACGGACATCGAGTGAACGAGCCCGTCGAATTATTGTGCAATTTGATTAAGTCGTCAGTTGATTGAGCTATTGAGTCGGTTAAGTTGATTAAGCTGTTGATCCGTTGACAAATATTACGCGAATGTTGAGTTAACAGGTCAAGCGGTGGGTTTTCACGCTGAAGCGAATGAGTCTTACTCCGGCGGTAAAGCCCACCCCCCGCCTGACTTAACGTCAAGCATTGCAAGCATCCTTGCACCTAGCTCCAAATGGTATTTCAGCAGCTAAGAACTGTTAAATTGGTCCGGCAATATAAGAACAAATTAACTCTTTTTCCAATTTATTTTATCCCATTCAACCAATAAGGAAATTTCAAAAATAGGTGAACTCGGCACACTTCAAGCTTTCTCTGTTGAGGAAGGTATAAAAATAGGTGTTAGGTGGTAAATAGGTGATCTTTGAGGTGAACATCAGAATGTTGAAGGAAAGGGTTCGATTCATGGAGAAATCAGTTCTAACCATGCTCACACATTCATTCCCCTCATCTCATCATTCCTGCAGGAAGAAATCGCAGGGACTTGCATTTTCTTATCAAATACGTCTCCAGACTTCTGTTATCTGAAATTTCTTGCTATATATAATTCGGGGCTGGAGACATGGATGAATGTATACACTGTTCGGAGTCTCAGTTTGAGCTAGGATTTTGCTTCGGACATGACGATCATGGCGGAAATGGCGGCCAAAATACTGGGAAACATGGGAGATCTACCTTGTGTCCCGATGGATTATCGTTTTAGATACCTTAAACTATATCATCACCAAGTTTCATGCTGGTAGCCTAATTTGAACGATTTTAACCCTAAGAGACCCCACTATAAAGCGTTTTTAGACTTAGAATAAATGCCGGATTCTGCAGATTGGCTGCTCTCTGTGATGCAGATCAGTGCAGCTATCTTTGGTCGTCTCTCAATAAAACATAGTGTAGATCGCATCAGACAGAAAGGACAAACATATTAAGTTGACCCCAAAGTTGCCCGGTCCTTTAAAGAGGGTGGAAGTCCAATTTTTCAAATTTGTATTTTTTTTTTTTTTTTTTTTCATTTTTTAATGCCCTTTTTACATCACATTCTTGTTTCTTTGCATCTGTAACTTGCGCAACAAGAAGGGGACTACCACTGTTTTCTCAAGTAACATGATAAGAACAACCGAAGAGTTCATAAATGCAAAAAAATAACGATTTTGAAGAATGGACTTCCCCTGAAAGCTTTGATTCAAGTAGAGTCTCAATTCATTCAGATCGATTTGAACACCAATGAATTCTGAGAAAAAAAAAATCATTTTTATGAGAGATAGTAAAATAATTTAAATTTTTGGTGATGAAATAATTTAGAAAATTGAGTTCCAAAATCTCATAAAACATACTACAAGCGCATTCACGTTTATTGTCCTGATGAAATGAAATAAATGACTTAAACTATGCCTCGTGGTTCCAAACGAAGTTGAATGTCAACTTTTTACATTTTCTCTAGCACCTTATTGGTGGTAGCGGTGGGAGGAAGGGAGGCTTGGGTATCTATGGCCAGGAATGCAGAAAGTGCTGATTATGCGCCCTTCTAGATGCATGAAAATGTATCAAGGCCTTGAATTAGTAGGAGAACCCTGCAAATTTGAAAAGCGCTTTAAGTCTCAAAAGTTTTGCAGATTTTTGTTGGACATTAATACTCTGGGCAAGAAAGAAAGAGGGGGAAAGGGGGAGAAAAGAACTCTACTTGTAAGTTTTTATGATCAGCTTAACTACTCTTTTAAGCCACTCTAATCTTCAAAAACTCAAACGCAAGCACACTCACACTTCCTCATAGCTTCTTTACTTCTTGGAAGGGGGGGGGATGTGTCAGCTCCACTGGTTAGAGTACAAATGAATCGAGAAAAATAGAAAGAGCGTTTTGCCATTACTCAGATAGGAAGGCTTTATGACCAATTATACAGCACAAGCGTTGAGTCCAGTTTCTTCTAGTTCCGCCTCCAGCCTGGCAAGTGCCAAGGGCCCTACAGGCAAGTGCCTACCATTTTAATGTATTTGTGAAAGCGCATTGCGTACGCGCAATCCAAGTTTTTAAAAATTATCCTTTTGTTTGTAGTCTAGCATGAAACATCAATTTTTTATTTTTTTAGTTCACAAAAGAGTACTGCGGTCTATTTGATGCAGCAGGAGTTTTACCCAAGAATAAACTGTGTAGATTCATTGTTTCACCTGAGGCTGCTCTGCAAGCTGGAACCCCATTGTACGCTTCGCATTTCCGAGTCGGTGATATTGTTGATATTCGTGGCAAAACGTAAGGAAAGCTGCATTAGTTGCCTCCTATTTTATTTAAAGAAACCAGCTCATGATGCTTTCGCTCCAATTCTGGAAATCAAATGCTTATTTTACTCAAAGCGTCTAAACAAATGTAATGCTGCGTTCCTTTTAAAAAAAAAATTTATGATAGAAGAAAAATAAATCTTCATTTTAATCCACTGAGAGTCAACGAAACCTTTACCATATACCTTCTGAAATATCATGGCATCTGAATCGCCAACCTTTGATGAAGAGTTGAACTTATTGTAAAACTGCATATACTGTATACATTGAAGTTCCATTATTGAATCGTTATGGAGTGACCTGATACTCTAGCTCAGCAATGCAATTTATCAATTGGTGAGCTTTACAAATGTACTTCATTTGATGATTGAATAAAACTTGTTTATCTGTTTATCTAGTGTCTTATTCTGATCGTAATTTTTAGTTTATTTTCGTAAAAAATATACTATTGCGATCTCCCATGATGTCGGACCCAGACCTGAGACCTTGTGAAGCGTACCAATCTCGGGTTGTAGATCACAAAAACATGAAACGAAACTTTAAGGATGTTCTTAGATCACTGTTAGCTTCTTTTGGGGCCTGCCCACGGGAAGGGAATACAGGCTCCAACTTTTTTTTTCAAATAGCTACCCTCCCTTTTGACACATCAATCAAAACAGGTTTAAAAAAGAACATTTTTGGCGCCAACCGCAAGTCGAAATCTTGATTTTTGACCAAGTGGTAGCCGGTCAAAGTTCAAAATAACGGAAATTTGACATCTCCTTTGTTAATGAATTGGGATGAAACATTGTATCCAGGAGTTTTCTGGGACAAAAGAAACCATTTTGGCATTAGTTTTCCGGAAAATTCTGTCCTTCTCAAAATGGCGCTCTAGAGTGGTGAGAGAATATCTAGGATGTATTTCAGTGGATTTGCATACAATTTGGCACCTAAAAAACGAATTTGTCATTGGATTTTTGAAATTCCGAATAACTTCAAAATGGCAGAAACTTGGTATTACGAGCGTCTACTGATGGTTTTGCATGAATCTCGGCCACTATTTTGAGAGTATTTAGCATTTCAAAAACGTAATGCTAAAGTGCCATTTTTGTCAAGCCAGAAACCAACAGGACCCCGAGTTTCATGCGAATCCATCAGCAATAATACCAAGTTTCCACCATTGCAAAGTTATTTAGAATTTCAAAAATCGAATGAAAGATTCGTTTTTCTCACGCCGAAGTACCTCTTGGTACCATATTTCATGCAAATCCACCGAAAAGCAGCCCAAATATTCTCCCACCGCCCTAGGACGACATTTTGACCGCCGTCATTTTGAGAAGGACAGAATTTTCTATTTATAATTTGATTTATGAATATCCCGAAAGTTTCGTCTGAAAATATTAATTAGGTAGAATTTTAGAGGGAGTGGGAGGGACTTTTGGGACACCCTTCACGGTGCGTTTTAAACAATTTTAATGCGGTCAACATACCACCCGCGATTTTTTTGCGGAAATGTCAACTAGAAGGCCTACTGATTGAGGAACAACAAACCGCGAAATCTGTGATGGGGCCGTTTCTGAGAAAATGCGATTTTTCGCTTTTTTGGCGGGAATTTCGGGTCAAGGCGCTGAAAAAGTCAAGTTAGGCTGTTTTTGTAGTTCGTAAATGCATATCCTATACATTTTGAGTCAATCAAGTGCCAGTAGATAGCTATTCGTGCATATTGCCCAAAATTCATATCCTTAAATCCACGACTTTTGGGTTTTTGGGGGGTTAGTCAAGGAGAAATCCGAAAAAAAGAGGTTTAACCCGGAACAAATTGCTTAACAAACTTTTCCTACGTAAACTTCTTCAGTAGGTCCTATTGAACAACATACCAAAAGTTTACCACGGTTCGCTCCCGGAACACCCCCCCAAATTGCCTAAATTTCAAAATGGCGGCCATAATAAGGCCTCTGGGAGTTCGATTTTTTAAAAAATACGCATACAGTGTCATGTGAGGTGTCAATTCCTATGTAATTTAGGTCGTAGATTTCAAATATGAAGTAAAAAAAGTCCCTTGATCAAAAGGGGGTACCCCAAATCCAAGATGGCAGCCAATTTTGAAAGTCAAGAGGGTGGATTTTTAAAAAGTTCGCGTGACAAGGCAAGTGAGGTATCATTTCTTATGTAATTTTGGTCGTAGATTTCATTTATGAGGTCATAAAAGCCCTCAAGTCAAAGGGATTGCTCCAAATGCAAAGATGGCGGCCAGCTTTGAAAGGCAGGAGGGTGAATTTTTGAAATGTTTACGTGACATCCCTAGTAAAATAGAATCAACTTGACGTCAGGGTATGTTTCATAAACTACCCTGAGTCAGATTGATATCAGCCTGAATTAGTCTGACTCAGGGTAGTTTATGAAACGTCAGGTTGATTCTATTTTACTAGGGATGTCACATAAACATTTCAAAAATTCACCCTCCTGCCTTTCAAAGCTGGCCGCCATCTTTGCATTTGGAGCAATCCCTTTGACTTGAGGGCTTTTATGACCTCATAAATGAAATCTACGACCAAAATTACATAAGAAATGATACCTCACTTGCCTTGTCACGCGAACTTTTTAAAAATCCACCCTCTTGACTTTCAAAATTGGCTGCCATCTTGGATTTGGGGTACCCCCTTTTGATCAAGGGACTTTTTTTACTTCATATTTGAAATCTACGACCTAAATTACATAGGAATTGACACCTCACATGACACTGTATGCGTATTTTTTAAAAAATCGAACTCCCAGAGGCCTTATTATGGCCGCCATTTTGAAATTTAGGCAATTTGGGGGGGTGTTCCGGGAGCGAACCGTGGTAAACTTTTGGTATGTTGTTCAATAGGACCTACTGAAGAAGTTTACGTAGGAAAAGTTTGTTAAGCAATTTGTTCCGGGTTAAACCTCTTTTTTTCGGATTTCTCCTTGACTAACCCCCCAAAAACCCAAAAGTCGTGGATTTAAGGATATGAATTTTGGGCAATATGCACGAATAGCTATCTACTGGCACTTGATTGACTCAAAATGTATAGGATATGCATTTACGAACTACAAAAACAGCCTAACTTGACTTTTTCAGCGCCTTGACCCGAAATTCCCGCCAAAAAAGCGAAAAATCGCATTTTCTCAGAAACGGCCCCATCACAGATTTCGCGGTTTGTAGTTCCTCAATCAGTAGGCCTTCTAGTTGACATTTCCGCAAAACAATCGCGGGTGGTATGTTGACCGCATTAAAATTGTTTAAAACGCACCGTGCCTTAATATATATAAGTATACACATGAACTTGAATGGCATATATTTTCGTAATCTACAATCCGTGATTGGCGCTCTTCACAAGGTCTCAGATCTGGGTCCGACATCATGGGAGAGTGTATTTCCTTTGGAAAATATACTAAAAATCACGATCAGAGTAAGACACTAGATAAACAGACAGTTTTTTGGGACGAGAAAAACTATTCTGGCATTGGCTTTCCAGAAAATTCTGTCCTCAAAATTGCGGCGGTGTAAATGGCGGTCTAGAGCGAGTAGAGAATATTAAGACTGCTTTTCGGTAGATTTGCATAAAATTTGGTATCCGGGGGCACTTCGGGACGAGAAAAACGTATCTTTCATTCGATTTTTGAAATTCTGTATAACTTGGTATTATGAACGTTTACTGATAGATTCGCATGATACTCGGGGACCTGTTGGTTTCTAGCTCGACAAAAGACTTTTTGAAATGCCAAATACTCTGAAAATGTCATTTTATCAAAAACCAAGATTTTGACTCGCGGGTTTTGCCAATAACTTTCTGTTTTAATCCGCTTTCGATTGATGTGTCACAATGAGGTGTGATGTGATGGAGAGGGGGGTCACTATTTGAAAAAAAAAAGCTCGGGTCTGTAGCCCCTTTTCATGGGGGGGGGGGGGCGCGCTAACGTTTCGGGGGCCCCAAAAGTATCTAACATTGATCTATGAACATCCTTTAAGTTTTGTTCTAAAATATTGTTAAGGTATAATCTTAGAGTGGATGGAAGGGACTTTTGGGACACTCTGCATATTTGTATACGTGTATGTATGTTTGTATGGAGAAGTTAATGTGTAAAATGGTGATCAAGTTTAACATTGGTCTAATAGGGATCAACAAAGTGTATCAAACAGCCACATACACATACGCAGTCGCAAAAACCGCTAAAAAGGGTTCTTGTTATAATTTTTAAAGGCTATAATTCGACAAGCAATTGTGATTCTAAACGTTTCATTCTACCACAGGACAAGTGTGTAGTGACTACCCCTGGCTGAGTTAGAACGAGGCATTGAGTTGGATGTGGTTTCTGAGATAGTACCTGTGAAAAGGTCAAATTTTTCGTAGGGGGTTTTTGGCATTGGTGTGGAATTTTTGTGGAAGTTCTTTAAATTTTATCCAATATGCTTTTTCCAAGCAGAATCTTGAAGTTATAAATAAGAGATAATCAGCGTTTGAGATATTGGTGATTACAGGAAAGTGATTGCTGGAACACAGGTCACCATGCACGAACCAGCTAAAGAGTGGGAGGAGATTTGCAGTACTTATAGTCAAGTCTACGCTTGAATAAGATTGAGCACTCAGGTTAAGATATGTAGGTTCTTCAGTATTCCGCAGTGCAAGGTCATCATTTTCCAAAAAAAAATTCTATTACTCTCTTCGAGGATCTATTTTCTTATTTCCTCAAATTGGATTGTGGGCAATAAAATCCCAACATAGTATCAATGGTGGCGGATTTCTTCCAGCGATATCTTCATTTCAGGGGGTAGATATATATTACAGATGGTAAGCTGAAGGTTATTAATAATTAATTGAACTGCAACTGCTTGAAAGTTTGTTTGCGGTGGAAGAGAGGTTGGAGAGTGAAAACTTCTGACTAAAAGGGCAGCACTTCCAGATGCAAGTAGGTTGTAAGAGTTATCAAGTCTGAATATGGAATAGGTTTTCATACTAGGTGAGTCTTGTTTTCTTAGTTTAGTTTCTTGCAAGGCAATTATCATTGGTTTGTACAATTTTTCAAGGCGATTCGATTCTGCCAAATGGGCGTAATAACCATTAATATTCCACTGTGAAATAGTCATAATATCTAATTAATTGTACCAGGGTAGGGTGAGTGAATTGTTGGAAAATGAGAGAGCAAGCAATTAGGAGAACTCTGCGTCCTCCTCGGTGAAACTGTAACTTTCATTCCTCAGGGTGGTTGTCAACCTAGAGAGTCTGTGTTTCGTGGTACGCGGAATTTGACAATCTGCAATGTTGATCAGGAACTCAGCAACCGAATGTAAGTTGTCAGTGAAAGTCTTAACTGACTTAACAAGGAAATTTATACTTATACTAGCTGCTCTGGGCGCGCTTCGCGCGCCCGGCACGTCTAGGGGGGGGGCTGCGCCCCCTGGACTCCGGGTCACTCTCTGCGCAAGTGACATTCAGCCCGCATCGCGAGTCCATTTTGTAGTGGTTGCAAATGTTTTATCACTATATTATGAAGAAGTCGCCAGACAACTTGTCCTGCAATACCTCATCAATTGAAGCTGGATTCATGATTATTTTATCAAAAATATCCTCAGAGAGAAAAGGATAGAAAAAGAAATATCAGAACAGAAAGGAAAAGAAAAGACAGACAAACGTAGAAGAGACTCAAGAAAAACACAGTATATCAGAAAAAAATGCAGAAAAATAACAGAAAACGACTCCACTAAGGTAATCTAAGCTCAGCTGCGTGTGAGCATGAGCAAGATAAAACAAAAACACCAAAGAGATTTAAGAAAAACACAGCAGAGAATCTAGGAAAACACAGTAAAACAGAGAAAAAAAATACAGTCGAATTACTAAAGAAAACTACTATCAAAGAAATTCTAATCATTCGGAAAGTAATTCGCTGGCGTAATCTATGCTTAGCTGCGTGAGAGCATGAGCGAGATTTATCATTTACTGACCGCCAGCCGCTAGGTACCTGGGCGGGCGAGCGACAATACGTAAGCGGTGGCATGGTTCGATTGACAGAGGAGTGGGGAACGGTCAGGCGTAGGGGAAAGGTTCAGGCTGAACCGTTCAGCACAGCGCAGTGTCAGTCACTGGGTGGAGAAGAAAGGCGGAAAAGGGACACTTCCCCTTGAGTGAAATAGAAAAAGGTGGAATCGCTGAAAGTCTGAATCCTTGGAAGCTTATATTAATGATTTATTTTTAGAATTATAAAACGTTTTTGTCAATGGAGGAAGATGTAATGGAATGTCAGAATCAAATAGGACTCTGAAGGGGCATGCTTGCTACAATGTGCTGGAGTAGCCTCTAACGCCCCATCTTGGGGGGGGGGGGGGGGGGGGGCTAAAAAATTTTTCGAAGAAGTCAGAACCCTAGAAAATGTGAAGCCAGTCTGCCCCTGGTTAAATTATCAGGTCAAACTGCCATTAAGTTTTAGATTGTTAGGATTCCTGCTAAATGATGGTTGACCGTCATCACTTGTTCCTGCGTTTCATCATCCGTACGAGATTAATCTAACTTTTTTCCATATTTCCCAGTATATCCCGAGGTTTCCAGGGTGTTGTCAGACGTTGGGGTTTCAGAGGACAACCAAAGACTCACGGATCTACCAAAACTCACAACAGACCTGGGAATATTGGAGGAGGAGGTGAAAAAGCCAGAGTTTGGCCAGGTAAAAAGTTACCGGGACACATGGGCAACAAATGGCGACTGCTTAAAGGCCAAGAGGTATGTATGTGGTTTCTTTTTTTTTTTTTTTTATTTTAAGACAGCTAGTATTTACTTACAATGACGCTTTTAGTTAAGTTGGTTTGAGCAGAAAAGAAATATTTAGATCAAAGTAAGTGAGTCACGTAAATTATAATTTAAAAGCACTGTACCTAATATGTTTGCAAGGTAGAATAGGTATCTTTATGTTACCTGGAATGCTTTGGGACCAGCAGATTTCTAAAGAAAACAAAAGAAGGATTTACTACGTACGTTACTACCAACTTTCAAAGAATTGAAGGCAATTTTTCAAATCTACTGTCCGTCAAAGTGAGCTCTGCGTGTGAATTTGATAAAAATCAAATTTTGCCCTTATCTCCCCCAAACTTTGGCGTACTTCAAATCGTTTGATATGCCGAAGGAGACCATAGATATGATCCTCCATGCAAATTTTGAATAAAATTGAATGAATAGATTCTGAGATACGGCTGTACACAGATTTGGGGGACAATGACGGGCGGACACGCATTTTTGCAAATTTGGTTCTTTTTTTTCTCCAGGCACCTTCAGACATCTAGAAAAGATGAAATTTCAACTTTTTTTTCCGTTTTTTTTTTTTGGATAACAACACTCTCTCTACCCGCAAGGGTAGCAGGAAAGTACAAAGTATTTTAGTAAGCAGCCAATCCAAGGAAGAGGGACATAAGCACAGCTATTTTGTACGAGGGTCATCAAAAAAGTAAGGTTCCCTGCCTTGTATCTTCCGAACGAAAAAAGATAAATCAAATCGGTAAAAAAACACATATTAAGCTTACTCTAGGCTTTACAATAAATCCAAGTTTTTGAAAATCGGTCCAGGGGTTCACGAGAGGCCTTACAAGACTGAGATTTTACTAAGACAACCTCCTGTTGCTGCGTGTCCACCTCCCAGGTCAGGATGCGCGGACAGTTGATTATTTCAGACTCAGGTATCCCCCTCTAAGCATCACATCAAAAAGGAATTCAAAATTTCTCATCGAATAGGTCTTAACTTACTTATTGAGGTAGTCTCCACATTTTTTTTTGACATTTCTGGTATCATTACAGCAGCTTCTTGATGCCGTCCGCGTAAAAGCTCTCACCTTGGCTCCAAAACCAGTCATTGACAGCGATCTGTACCTCTGAATCAGTTGGCAATCGCTTTTCATCATGGAAGTTTTTCCGCTCGGGAACAGATGAAAGTCAAATAAGACTAAATTAAGAGAGTATGGAGGATGGGGGGGAAAATTCCCTGACACAAAGCAACTGATTTGGAAGTGCAGATCGCTATTTAAAGGTGGATTTATGATGTTTAGAGGCGGACACCCGAGTCTGAAATAATGAACTGTCCGCGCATCCTGACCTGGGAGGTGGACACAAGGCGACAGGAGGTTGTCTCAGTAAAATTAAGGCCTCTCGAGAACACCTTGACCGATTTTCAAAAACTTGGATTTATTGTAAAGCCTAGAGTATGCTTAATATGTGTTTTTTTACCGATTTGATTTATCTTTTTTCATTCAGAAGATACAAGGTAGGGAACCTTACTTTTTGGATGACCCTTGCATTTCCTATATTCTTGTATGTACCTTCAAAATGAAACTAGCTTTCTCATACTACTTTCTCTGAAGAGGAGGAAGCAATAAAATACAATTCTGTTTCCCTTTTAGATTGTGCGTATTAATACTAAGTACAATGTAATCTACATCAGAGGACAGGCATCTCCTGGTAATGTTGGTGACTTGATGTACATGTTCGATACAATACTTCCATTGAGGTGCGTAGAAATTATTGATTTTGAAACGTAGAATTTTAAAACTGTTAAAAAATGCCCTAATTTTTAAAACTCGGAATATGCAGTAGTTAGCCATAGATAGCCATAGTAATTTGTCATAGCTCTTATTTGCCAATTTTGCTAGGAGTAAATTAACTTCCGACTCACAGTCTGCTTCAAGTGTCGATAATTTAAGCACAGTTATAATCAATGATTCTTTATTCTGAAGATGAAAGAGTTCAGCACCTAAAATAATAAATACATTTGAGAATAAAAATTCCGAACCTTGTAACTGCACAAATGTCTAAGGAGAGTCTTGGACCAAAATGGCATAAAGTTGCAACTTTTCAATATTTTTTGGATCCTTTTTCTTGAGAGTTTAAGAAATGATGTCATGATTACGGTTTCCCAATCCTCCGGCTAAAATAAAGTAGGAAGTCCATAAAATCGACTTAAGTAAGATGGAACATGTTAAGGTGCCATTGATTGAGTCTGGTCCGAACATGGTGGGCGCCATCTGTCAAACCTGGTATTTGCCATTTTCATTTCAGCCATTGTCGTTTCTGTAAATACCCATACATTGACTGCGAAAGTACCATACATTTGTGGTGTTTAAGAATCTCCGCTTCCAGTTAATTATTTTGAAAGAGGACAAGTTAATATCATTCCTTGAAGTTTTCACATAGTTTTCCTTGCTTTGAGAAGTAGTCTCAGAAGTTTTCAAAAATTACTTTGTGTAGCTTCATTGGAAAAGTGAAGTGTGACAGGCAGTCTGAAAGGTTGCAAACCGTGACACATGGTGTAGTAGTTTCATTGTCTAAACTCGTATATTTTTAGTATCAAAAGTTGAGGGTATGCGGAAGCTCAATTTACCCTCCAA